CGCCCGGCCCAGGTAGGAACCTGGAAAAACCCTCGGTCATGTTGACGCGAGAAAAGGTCCCGGCCACCCTTGGCGGACGCAAGGCAGGTAGCAGCATGGAGGAAAAACCATCGGGTAAGCGCAGGGCGAGTGCCACCCCGGATAAACCCCGCCCAGAGGACCAGAAAAGTAAGAAGGTGGAAGCCGAGGAAACACCGGCAATTCAGCCAACGCGCACCGTTTCGGAGATGGTGAAACGGGCCGCCGAAATCGAAAAGAAGATGCTGGCCTTCTGCCTCGACCCGGCAAAGAAGGCCGGGAAAGAGAACGCCGCAACGGTGATGGAGAGCTTCCTCGAAATGCGCAAGATCGTGGAAGCCCTCACACTGAAGAATAGCTTCCTCTGCGGCAAACTGGAGGAGAGACTCTCGTCGGTAGACGAAACGAAGGCAGCTTTAACCGGAGCCGTTTCCAGGACAATGGAAGCGACAAAGCGCCTCGAGTCCGCGGCTAAGTGGGCCACAGCCTCGGCCGCCGGGAGCGGCCAAATATCATACGCCGACAAACTGAAAGTGTCGAGCAAAGTTCTGCCGAAATCAGCAATAATGCCACCGAAGAACGTGGTAATTATAACGCCGTCTTTGGAGGATACAGATATCAGGACGAGCGAGGAGGCACGCGAAGCGGTCTTCACCTTGGTCAACCCAAAGAAGAGGGGCATCCAGGTGAAGTCAGTACGCCGCGCACAAGGCAATGGCATAGCGGTAGAAACGACTACCGCAGATGGTCTCAGAGCGTTCACGGAGAACGCAAAATTGAAGATTATTGGCCTGAAGGCGAGGACGCCAACCAGAAGCAGACCGAGGATGATTATATACGACATCCCGAGAGAACTGACGGAAAAGGAGATCCGCGCTTGCTTGAGGAAGCAAAATAAGGAAAAGCTGGGAGACGCGGATGTGCAAGATATAAAATTCTGCTTCCGTACAGGGAGAAAGGACAGCGAGAAGACAAACTGGCTCGTAGAGGTCAGCCCTCAAATATGAAGCAGAGTGATATCCGGGAAATTATTCATATCCTGGAACGCATGTAAAGTCCAGGACTTCATCGCCGTCAGCCGCTGCTACAAGTGTCAAGGCTTCGGGCACGTGGCCAAGCACTGTAGGCAGAAGCACGACACCTGTGGTCACTGTGCCGAAACCGGGCATGACACAAAAGCTTGCCCAACGAAGAAGAATAACGCAGTCTGTGTAAACTGCAAGAGGAGCGGCAAGAAGAGCGATCACGCAGCCTCCAGCGTGAATTGCCCGTCCTATAAAGCCGCACTGGAGAGGAGAGTCGAAAGAACCGTTTATGATTAAGAAGAAAAACGGCCGGACGGAGGAGATAAGGATCCTGCAGCACAACATGCAGAGGTCAAGAATCGTGCCCCACGAGGTTAGGTCGCAGATGGAGCTAACGGGCGCAGATATCGTACTGATGCAAGAGCCCTACACCATGGAAGGTAATATACCTGGATTTGGGACGAGCGTCGCGATCGTGTGTCGCGGGGATAAGAGTGCCCCACCCCTCGCGGCGGTG